TACTGGATCAGGATATCTCTCGAGTGAAGTTTTATTCCCGGGATCCACAGGGGCACACTGTACTGAATCGGGATATCTCTCGAGTGAAGTTTTATTCCCGGGATCCACAGGGGCACACTGTACTGGATCAGGATATCTCTCGAGTGAAGTATTATTCCCGGGATCCACAGGGGCACACTGTACTGGATCAGGATATCTCTCGAGTGAAGTTTTATTCCCGGGATCCACAGGGGCACACTGTACTGGATCAGGATATCTCTCGAGTGAAGTTTTATTCCCGGGATCCACAGGGGCACACTGTACTGGATCAGGATATCTCGAGAGTGAAGTTTTTCTCCCGGGATCCACAGGGGCACACTGTATTGGATCAGGATATCTCTCGAGTGAAGTTTTATTCCCGGGATTCACAGGGGCACACTGTACTGGATCAGGATATCTCTCGAGTGAAGTTTTATTCCCGGGATCCACAGGGGCACACTGTACTGGATCAGGATATCGCGAGAGTGAAGTTTTATTCCCAGGATCCACAGGGGCACACTGTACTGGATCAGGATATCTCTCGAGTGAAGTTTTATTCCCGGGATCCACAGGGGCACACTGTACTGAATCGGGATATCTCTCGAGTGAAGTTTTATTCCCGGGATCCACAGGGGCACACTGTACTGGATCAGGATATCTCTCGAGTGAAGTATTATTCCCGGGATCCACAGGGGCACACTGTACTGGATCAGGATATCTCTCGAGTGAAGTTTTATTCCCGGGATCCACAGGGGCACACTGTACTGGATCGGGATATCTCGCGAGTGAAGTTTTATTCCCGGGATCCACAGGGGCACACTGTACTGGATCAGGATATCGGTGAAGTTTTATTCCCGGGATCCACAGGGGCACACTGTACTGGATCAGGATATCTCTCGAGTGAAGTTTTATTCTCGGGATCCACAGGGGCACACTGTACTGGATCAGGATATCTCTCGAGTGAAGTTTTATTCCCGGGATTCACAGGGGCACACTGTACTGGATCGGGATATCTCTCGAGTGAAGTTTTATTCCCGGGATCCACAGGGGCACACTGTACTGGATCGGGATATCTCGAGAGTGAAGTTTTATTCCCGGGATCCACAGGGGCACACTGTACTGGATCAGGATATCTGGTGAAGTTTTATTCCCGGGATTCACAGGGGGCACACTTTAGCCTGGATCAGGATATCTCGAGGTGAAGTTTTATTCCCGGGATCCACAAAGGGCACTGTACTGGATCAGGATATCTCGAGAGTGAAGTTTTATTCCCGGGATCCACAGGGGCACACTGTACTGGATCAGGATATCTCGAGAGTGAAGTTTTATTCCCGGGATCCACAGGGGCACACTGTACTGGATCAGGATATCTCGAGAGTGAAGTTTTATTCCCGGGATCCACAGGGGCACACTGTACTGGATCAGGATATCTCGAGAGTGAAGTTTTATTCCCGGGATCCACAGGGGCACACTGTACTGGATCAGGATATCTCGAGAGTGAAGTTTTATTCCCGGGATTCACAGGGGCACACTGTACTGGATCAGGATATCTCGAGAGTGAAGTTTAATCCCGGGATCCACAGGGGCACACTGTACTGGATCAGGATATCTCGAGAGTGAAGTTTTATTCACTGTCAATATCTCAGCGCCAGACCTCGTTTCTAAAAGAAACTGAAATATTGCCATGCTCAAAAAAGGACCCTAAATGTGGTAACTAACCTCTTCTCTGTGAATGTAATGGAGACTCAATGACCTTCAATGTGACTCAGAATTCTAGTGCCCTTCTACAATTTTAGCTAAAGTATGTAGAAAATGTATAAATTTAAATCCACTCTGTCGCCCCAAACATATCTTTCCCCAAATGTTTCCTCTTCTCTGAACCTGTTCTTTTCCTTCTTTCGGATC